AATATCGGCTTGTTAAGGCTAATAAAGCTCAAGTTTTTATAAAAATTGCATTGGAAAACTTCGGGTAAGAGCTATAAATTCCTCGCTAATCTTAATGTTTTATCTTTTTCAGATTTTAAGAAAACTGAACGTTTTTCACATTTTTTGTCAAAACACCAACAAATCTTACACACTTGAAATAACTCTAAATCTGTCTAAAATTTCATTGATACTTTTTAAAATACTGTTTCAAATAACAAAGCACTTTTCCTGCAATATCAACAATAAATTAAAAATGTTGAAACAGCTTTGCAACATATAATTTGGAATTTGAATGGTATCTACTGTTTGAGTGCTGTAGCCTTTGTGTCGTTGCTTCCTCAGCCACTTCGTTTAGAATATTTTCCACATCATCTTGCGGTTCAATTTTGGATGTCAGACGTTGTTCATTAATCATATCTTTCGAACATTCATTGCTAAAATCATATTTTTCATTATTTATTTCTAACGGGAAGGATTCGCTGAAGCCTTTATCAATTTTTTTAGTTTGCATTCTCGTGTGCTTCATTATTATTATTATTTGATCCAGTTTGATATTGACGTTTAATTGACGTTTTATTATCCCACACATCTGTGCACGCCTTCCCCCTATATGGTTTGAAATTTGTAACATCAATTAATATTATAATTTTCGGCGAAATTGGACACCCATTATTTTGCAAATTTGATAACTTCTTAGGTTGATTTGCGCATCCCGCTGAAATCGACGTATTAATAGAAGGTAAAAGGATTATAATTATATTTTTTTGACGTTGTTTTTAGGTGGGAGCTATTGATCACTGGTTCACTGATTGATGTTTTAAACGAACCATGAACGAATTGTAATTCTTTTTCTTTTTAAGATTTTTTATTACGTCGGTCCTTATAATCAGGATGCTGTTGTTTGTATTATTGTTTTTCTAACTCGACTAATTTGAAGTAACGATCCTTCACATGTTATGGTTTGTTTCTCTATTTCTTACCCAGTTCAGCATTCATTTTTAATATATTTGCAAAACTCTTACGATACTGGACTGATTTGTGTTTCCTGTAGAGCATGAAAGCATTTATAGGTTTTTTTCATCTTCTGAGTCTTGAATGCGTTGGTCGTCATCTGGTTAAGATTTTCACATTTCTCTTTATTGTTGCGCAAATTCAGAACCCTTACATGTTCATTAGCACCTGTAGTAAAATTTTAGAACGTTTTGAAAGATCAATTGGTAAAATCTGCTCCGGAAGACAGTTGAACATCATTTGGTTCAGATTTTCAAATATCTTTTTTTCTTCATCGGGGCATAAGTCCAGAACTTCTGTAGGTTCATTAGCACCTGCAGTAAATCTTTTAGAACGTTTTGATAAATCAATAGGAATGTTCTGTTCTGAAAAACAGTCGTTCCAAACATTTTTCTTTGTCATAGTTGAGTTTTGAAAAAGTTACCACACTCAAATGACGATGTTCTTCAACAGAATAATAGCAGACTATCTGTAAAATGATGCCTCACGAATTGGTATCTATGCAATTATTTTCGGATTGAAATATCGAGTGTCGTTCAAGCAGCAAATTCAATCTATATAACCTACCTGTAAATCAAACTAAAAGATAAAATTTAATCAAAAAAATGTAAAATTCCAAATTCTCTTACGAAGTTTGGTGGAAGCACATAAATCTACTTTTTCAGGTTTTAAGCGTTTCTTGAGTTCAAAACTGTTAAAAATGAAAATCGATTCAACTGATTCAAAAAAAACTTTTTTATAGTGAGAAATTAAAAAAATTGATTTGATGAATAGGGTCAAACTAAATGGCTGTCTTATGAATGGCTGACTTGTCTGACTTGCATGCGACCATAAACACAATTTTTTTAATTAAATCTAAACAAATTGTTTTAATATAATTCATATATTATTAATATTTTAATTAATTTATTTATTATTATTAATATGTATTTGAACGCAAATTGTATTAAAGTAATGCGGCACATTGTGACAATATTACAAAATATATAGTGGCTGATTTGAGATTTTATTTAACTAATTTTTTAATTTTTCTGTATTTGACTGACTTTTTTTTAATTTATTCAAAACAAATTGTTATAATATAATGAAATAATTGTTTTTAATTAAAGTGAGCGGGAATTCGTTTTCAATTTCCTTCCATTTTTTTCTCATTTTCGTTTCCCTCCAGAATTCCCAATTATGACAGAGTTCCCTAAAATTCCCATTCCCTATTTTTTTAACTCACTCCCGCGTTTTCCCTCCTATTCTCTCCCGTTTCCCATTTTTGAACTCAAAAAACGCAAATTTTTTTTATACAGATTTACAAACACGTCTTCATTACCAAATAAGATAAAAATTCAAAATAATTTATTAGTGTCATAAAACAAAAGTATTTTAGTTTAAATTATAGTTAAAAATTGTGACGTATAAATTTTGTTTTTAAAGGCTTTTCAAAAATTTTAATATTTAAATTAAACATTTGTTTGAAATAGTGCACTGCATTAATTAACAAACATATAAAAATAAATAAATATATAAATAAATTATATTTCAATTGTTTCAAATACAATTAGTCATTTGAGGAATAAAAATAAGTACAATCCAATCACATAATCATAAGGACAATTGTTATATAACATCAAGTTAAATACATAAAAATACATATACATACATCATACATACATATATATATATCGTTAAAAATTGTTGCCCATTTAGCATTTATTAACTTTTTTTATAATCGATTCAACAGAACGATTCGTGGCCGAGTGGTTAGCGAGTCCGTCTACCACTCCCACGACCCGGGTTCGAACTCTGCAGTTTCTACAAGTTCATCCGGGTAGCCGACCCCCGGTCAACCCAGCCGTCCATCTTTTCGAGGTTGGTAAATGGGTAAACGACGTAAGCTTGTTGGCCGGCGAGAAAGATGGCTCAGTGGTTCAAATGCTCGCTGAGTCAAACATCTCAATGGCTATAATATACTCAGCGTATATGATGCGGTGCCTGCGCGTGCACATAAATACATGTGTACGTCGTGTGAAAAGGATAAACAGCCCTTGTGGCGATGATGGCTGCTTCAAATCAATGGATGAAGATATGATATAATAAAATATATAGATAATATATCTGTAACATTGTAAGTGGTTCTGCGTATGACAGAGCTGCAATTATAAAGACTAATAAAAAAAAATTTGAATAATCATATTTATTCAATAATTGTGTCATAGCTAGGCTGACATCTGTTTAGGCAAAATGCCATCGTCGGAGCCTTGGGTAACTAATCAAAGTATATTAAATTGTAATTGTATAAAATCAATGCGTAAAATGTAATGTCAAATTGAAACAAAATGGAATAAAAAATAAACCTTGAAATTGGGAATTCAGCGGTAATAAAAAATATAGTATATTACTATATATTATTTGCAAAATAATTGAATAAAGATGATAATGCAAAATTGCGTTATGTTGAATCGATTATAAAAAAAGTCAATAAATGCTAAATGGGCAACAATTTTTAACGAAATTTGCTTAAGCGAAAACCTCGTACCAAAATATATATATATATATATATATTATATATATATATATATATATATATATATATATATATGTATATATATATACATATATATATATATATATATATATATATATATATATATATATATATATATATATATATATACAGGGTATGTGACGGTTGTAAGTTGGCCAAATTTGGCCAATCATTTGTAAACCGGGCATTCACACACTTTTCCGATATTGAAAATCGCGACGCAGAATTAAAATGAGTCACTAATTATTTGAGAAGTTTATTAATTATCTTCAATATATTATTATAATAAAAACAATACTTAAGTAATTTTAAATAATTTGTTAATTTTTTAAACTAATTTATCATATTGTGAAAAGTTTCGATGGCAAAACTTTAAAACAGGATTGTCTTTAGGAAAGAATTGTTTTAAATTTTAATCATATTTTTAAAATTCTTGAACAAAATTCTAATCCTATATATTCCAAACAATTACACACTACAATCTTCCCGTGAGTTTATTAATCTCCTCAGCATTAATAAACCATCCAAATATATTCCCTCTCTGGATGTTGAATCATTATTCACAAATGTACCAATTCATGATACAATTGACATAATTATCAACACCGTTTACCACTCAGATATGGTTCCATTGAGCATACCGAAAGCACAACTGAAGTCTCTTCTTCAAACTTGCACTACCGAAACACCATTTCACAGCCCCACAGGCAAACTTTACAAGCAAATCGATAGTGTCACTATGGGTTCTCCCATTGGCGTCCTATTTGCCAGTTTTTACTTAGGGAATCTGGAGAATGAGACCTACAAAAACAATGCAAATTTAAAACCAAATATCTATGCTAAATAAGTTGATGATATCTTTGTCTCCTATAACGATCCTGAACAAATCACACAACTTCTTGGTACCTTGAACAAATCAAAACTAAGATTCACCATTGAAATTGAAAAGGAACAACGTTTATCTTTACTTGATGTGTTGGTCACCCGTGGAAAAGGAACAACGTTTATCTTTACTTGATGTGTTGGTCACCCGTGGCGAAGAACGATTCAAGATTGCGGTCTATGTCAATGAAACAAATACAGGAATTTGTTTGAATGGACAAAGTGAATGTACCGAACAATTTAAAGACAGCACAATAAAATCATTTGTAAACCGGGCATTCACACACTCTTCCGATATTTAAAATCGCGACGCCGAATTAAAAAGAGTCACTAACCTGCTTGTGAACAATGGATATAAGACTTAATCTATTGAAAAGATTGTTAAAGGCAAATTACTACACAACATTATCCTTCCTAGTACCAACTATCAAGATAATGACATCATCTTGTATTACAGAAATCACATGTCAACTGCATACAAAGTAGAGGAAGCTATTTTTAAACATATCATCAATAAAAATGTTACACCAACCAACCCAAATAATAAAGTTAAACTCCGAATATATTACAACAATAAAAAGACGTCTCACCTAATACTGAAAAACAACTGTAGTTCTAGAGATAACTCTGTGCTAAGGCGTAATCACGTAATATATGAATTTAATTGCCCCTTTGACGGCTGTGCACGTCAACATGACTCATATATCGGGATTACTACTATCTCATTGACTAGAAGGCTTACGATGCATAAACAGAGTGGTGCAATCAAATCTCTATTAGCCGTGAAATCCTCGACAGTAACACCAAAGTAATATACCAGAACAGCAACTACACGCATCTTAAAATTGCAAAAGCAGTCCTAATTGACATCAATAAACCAAAAATAAATATACAACAAAAAATGTCAACCTCACTTCCAACCCGGCGCTTAACCAACAACGAAAACAAAGAAGTAATAAAAACTAGCATTGTAAATAGTGACAAAGAAAAATATGATGCTATCGATAAAGAAAAGGAGACCAAAGAAGACGACCAGCCAATAAAGAAACCTGACACCTAATTTCCACTTAGACAAAGTCAATCTCCATTTTGAAACCCATAGTGACACCATCGATTTGTTTGTAAAGTTTGCCTGTTGGGTTGTGGAATGGTGCTTCGGTAGTGCAAATTTGAAGAAGGGACTTCAGTTGTGCTTTCGGTATGCTCAATGGAACCATATCTGAGTGGTAAACGGTGTTGATAATTATGTCAATTGTATCATGAATTGGTACATTTGTAAATAATGATTCAACATCCATAGTGGCAATATATTTGGATGGTTTATTAATGCTGAGGAGATTAAATAAACTCACGGGAAGATTGTAGTGTGTGATTGTTTGGAATATATAGGGTTAAAATTTTGTTCAAGAATTTTGCAACAGGGTATGTGACAGTTGTAATTTGGCAAATAATTGGTCGGATGGGATGATTATTTTTATGCGTTTTTATATTTCCATATAAGTAGCCAGGAGAGTATTCGCCTACAAGTGATGAAAGTTTGTCATCAGTGATGTGCTTTTTTATTTTCTTAATTATTGTGTTTAGTTTAGTTTTTAGTTGAGGAGTGGGATCTTTTTTGATTACTTGGAACTTTTTTGTATCTTTGAGAACATCATTGAGTTTTTCATGGTAATCGGCTCGGTCGATAATGACATATTGTGCGGATTTATCTGCGCGTCTTATTACGATATCTTTATTCTCCCTAAGTTGCTTCGCCGCATTCTTCATCTCATCAGTGAGTAGCTTACTTTGAAAACTACCTCGTTGTTTCTTGGCTTCAGCTTGAAGCTCAATGGCAACAGAGGGGTTGAAGCTTATTTTACTTTAACGTTCAGCGTCGTTTATAGACATCATTAGAATTGAGATAGAAAATGTATATATACATATATATATACATATATATATATATACATTTATATATATACAATAATATAAATGTATATAA